CATATCACAGATCTTTCTCGCTGACTTTATTTTAACACGGCAACTGGCTTGCCACCAAAACATCCTGAAAGTCGAATCTCAATGAGTGTAGCTTTGAGTAGCAACAAAACTGCACCAAAGTCGGCTATCTCACTACTTTCTAATGGCCAAGATGGGTCAATTAAAGTTCTAAAAGTAAGTTAGTGTTAATGACACCATGCAGAAGCCTAATATTATCCTTGACTGACTCAAAGAATATCAGTACAAACCAAAGTGTCACACTAACTGTAGCTATCATGTTAACCATATTGGTCTATGTTGTACAATCTTTATGATCTATTGCTACTTACCTAAGGAATCCCTAGATTCGTGTGTAGGATCTTACAAGAAAATATACCCAAACAAACCTTTAAAGTTAAAGAAAACAAATAAAGCAAGTAAAAGTGATCTAAACTCTAAGGTAACTCCTCTTTTTAAGTAGATCCCCAACAGAGTCGTCAGTTCTATAATACAGTAGGAGAACTGACTTTTTGGTTTCTATCCAAAATATGCAGATAGATAGAGTCGCCATCGACTTTTCTTTTATCCAGTACTTAGGAAAGGTAAAAAGAACAGGAAATACCTCTGGTAGATTTTGAGTTCGGGGGGTAAGTTATGAAAAGGAAAGATGTTAGCACCTTTTTCATCTGTAGTTATCTATGGGCTCTTAATTGCTTAGCTCACTTTTGACAAAAAACTTTCTTTGTGTGTGTATGATTTGTTTGAAAATATTTTGAAATGCCAATGTAAGGCTAACTTTGTAATGATTCTTGTATTAGTCCTCAAGAATGCATACAAAGTGTTTTAAAAATATTTGTTTGAAAGTGATGTGTGAAAAAATGTTTTGAGAAAAGTTTTTGAGCAAGCAATTAGGAGTTTCTTACCCACTAAAGTCTTATTCTTTTCCTTCTCCTTTAGAGATAGTATCATCCATACCATTAGTTGGTAGGTAGCCTTATATATTGAATGTGAAAGGACAGGCGTATGGTCATCGTATGGTCATCGAAGACAACATGTAAGGATACTTTAGCAATTGTAGCGGAGGGTCTGTCATCATTTACGCGTAGGGACTAGATTATTTTGTAGGCAACTTCGAAGAGTCGTCGAGGGACTATGATGATTTGATCGAGGGTCTTTTGCTAAAGTATCCCCACTTTCAAGCGACGTGACCAATATTTGTAAGGCAACAAGAGAGGATACCCTAGAGGTGCAAGTGTGAAGAGTGTATTGATTTCAGTTATTTAGTCTTGAGAATTAGGGTTTTCTAGATTGTTTTTAATCTTTCCATACAAACCCTAGTTACTAGCAATTAAATATGTACAGAAAAATAAAGTGTGGAATATAAAGCCTACGTTATTACATGGCTTTGGGGAAGATACATAAGTATAAAAATTTGTGAGAAAGTAAATCTACGTTATTACATCCTGTGAGCAGTTACATAATTGGGAAAAATGCGAGAGAAAAAAATCTACACTATTACATCGATAGTGCTATCTATACAATTTTCTATGAATTTAAATAGTAAAAGATAAATGAGAAAAGTGTTAGAAAAGTGTCTTTATTTTCGTGCTTTTTGTAGAAAATAATTTAAATGATAATAGTAATTAAAAATCTAATTCTAATTAATTTTAATATTAAGAAAAAAAGTTAATTAATTAATAAAATAATTAGTAAAATAAAAATATAAAATATAAAATATAAAATAAAAATTTTATTTACTAATTAAAAATACTTAACCCTAATTTGTTATAGTTTTGAAAAAAAATATTAGGTTAGTTAATGATTAATTAAAAAGAAATTAATTAAGAAAACAAAAAATTAAATAGTAAAGAAATAAGAAAAAGAATGTTAAAATATTAAAATATTTTTGTGTAGAAAATAATTTAAGTGATAATAATTAATTAAAACTTAAGTGTTTTTAATTAATTTTTAATATTAAGAAAGAGGTTAATTAATTAATTAATTAATTAAAATACATCAAGAATTTAATTACTAATTAAAAACCCTAATCTTAATTTATTAAAGTATTAAAAAAAGATTATGTTAATTAATTGTTAATTATAAAAGAAATTAAGAAATATGGTGAAAATAAATTAGGGTTAGTAAAAAAGAAAAGAAAAAAAAACAATTGCCTGGGGTGGGTGTTAGTTGTGCCTGAAAACACTTGTATCGTGAGATTCAATGAAAATAACTCAAACTACCCTAGCAATGGCAGATGCTTATTCCTCCGTCAAAGCTTGCAAATAATGATTCTAAACAAGTCTAAATATCATTATAAACAGGTATATATGCATAGAATTAATCAATAATGTATGAATTATGAGTTTGAATTTCAAGAATATTACCCAACCGGCGTGACTTAATGTGGTTGTTGTGAATGTGGATTTGCTTCAAGGATGGTTGGATGGACTCTGGGATCTTCAAGAACACAATGGAATGCTTAGAATGAATTGCAAGAGGTTGGAGACAACATTTTCAAGTTGCCCTAGTTTTTATAAAATTTGAGATTTTTCAGAGGATATTCTTGAAGCAATTTTCGTGTCCCTCTTGGTCTGAAGTTGTCATGTATTTATAGTGGAAGATTTAGGTCAATAAAAGTGAAACAAATATTTTATATTTCATGATCAAATATTGATGAAATTACAAAAGATTTGAATTTCATGATCAAATATTTGATTGAAGTTTTGTATGAAATCTTTCTTTTTTAGGTCAATCTCATACCAATCACGTTTTTTGCAAGTTGTCATCAGCTTTTTAGACTTATGATTTGATTCAAAATAGATCTTCATGCCTTATATCATTTATTTGATATTTTATTTTACTTAAGTTGCATTTAAATGAATAAAATCCATATAAAAGAAATAAAAATTATAAAAAATATATGAATTGATTTAGAGTTCTAATATGAGGTCAGAAACATGTTTGGACCTTAAAAGATAGGCCCATTAGCTCAAAAATTCAAATTTTCTCAATTTGGATTTCATGCATTTTCTCAAAATTGCCCAACTTTCACAAATCATAACTCACTCAATTTTTGTCATATGAAGATGATCTTTTACTTTTTGGAAATCTCAAGATGTCTCCTACAACTTTCAAGTTGGTCATTTTGTCATTTGAATCATTTATCTTGATGTAAATTACTTTGACAAAAAGTGTCTTTTTATTGACTTTTAAAATAATCTATAACGTTTTGACCCATATCTCTTAAATGAAGCATTTTTGGCCTTAAGCTTAGAGAGTCAAAGTTATATAGAATTGAATTTCCTTCAAGTTAGGTCTTGGTTGAAAATTTTCTGATGAAGTATGTGAAAGTTATGCTTGGTCAAAGTTCAGTTGACTTCTCCTAAAGAAAACCCTAATTTAGTAACTTTTGACTTTTGATGAATCTTCAGTTTTCTTGATGAATCATGATGAACTTTTGATTAAATGATGAATTTGACCTAAAAATATTGATGTTGACCAAAATCTTGAAGTTTGACTGTAAGTTGGTCAAAGTTGACTTTTTGTCCAATATAGTTGATTTTCAATCATCTGATAGTTGACTGAGCAAACTTGTGCTGCAAGGCTTGAAACTTGGTATGAGAATTCTTTGATACATATGAGAAACCATGAAATTCACTTGAGGCATTAGAAGTCTAATTTTCCTTGAGAAAAACAAAATCCTAGTTATAGGTCAACTGCTTAGGAGGAGGATTTGTCTGGTCAACCATTGAGTAGTCTTGAGTATTTGAGACCTTCATGAGCATGAGGAGACCTATTGAAATTATTTGTCTTGAAAATTAGAGGACAAATTTTGAGGTACAATAGAGATCATCTTTGTTTTTCAACCATTAGCAAAAACATTAGCTAAAATCTCAATTTAGGTGTTGAAAAATTCCTTCAAAATCACATTAATCAAACCAAGTTTACAATCATAATTGTCAATGAAAAAACACTAAATACAGATTAAAGACTCTATGATAAAAAAACACCCTTTAGCCCCAACCAAAGAGATTCAAGCACAAAAGAAATAAACTATTTTGTAGTCATAAACAAATTGGTGAAATTAACAGTTGAATCTCAGTTACTGAAAAATAAAAAAGATTAATAGACAATGTGTGATTTTGTTAACTTCAATAATGATTGAGTTAACCGTATTTGATTATGAATTTTTGAATATGAGAATGAACTTCAATTTTGGATTGATTAAAAAATGAGATATGATTTAGGGTTAAGGATCTTCACCGATTTGAAGATTTATGATTTTGCACTCTACCATTCGTCTTCGAGTAGCTTAGTATTTGGTTTTTAGTTTAGTCCTATATACTTTTTAGTTTTCATGAAATTCAGATTTAAAAAATATTTATTCAATTTCGGTTTAAGTTTGGTTATTTGCTATTCTATTCGGTTATAAAACCGCTAGTAAAGTACAGATTCAGTTTATTAACCAAAAAAAAATCGATTATTTTAAATTTAGTTCAATTTGATTTGATTGATGACTAAGTTCGTGATTTTTTTCAGCCGTCCTAAAGGTGTGAGCAAAAGGTGGGTTAAACCCAAAAAAATTTGCCTCTCTTCTTGAGATTGGGAGGGGGATAGTTAATGTGTTTTTAATTCAATCAACTAATCTCTTTGTTTTAGGATGTAATTTTTAAGACAATTGATTTTACGATTCAAAAAAGAATAACGATGTAATTTGTTATACGTTTGATTTCTATTTCTGTATTGACCTAATTTATTATGATTATTTGTTTAATAAAATCAACTAATCTGATTATATCATAAATGAATTAAAAAAGTAATTAATAATTAATATTTTTCATCTTTCATAAATTAAGTATGTCTTTTAGATTTTGTCGAACTGGATATTTAGAGAGATTTTGATACGTGTAAAACTTCACACACAAAAAAATGTTAAGCATTGGAATGAAAGTAGGATCTCTATAAATAGCTCTTAGCTATGCTTCATAACACTCATCACTTCTACACTCACTCACACAATAATGGCTAGCTCAATGTTTAACAAGGTTACTTTCTTGGCTATCATATGCTTGGTTTTGGGTATTCCCTTAGCTAATGCTGCCCAAACATGTGGTGAAATACAAACCTCCTTATCACCATGCCTTAGATACCTTACGGACCAAGAACCAACTGTCCCTGTGACATGTTGCAATGGTGTTAGGACTGTTAATGACCAAGCCAGAACTCTCCCTGAACGTAAAGATGCTTGCGAGTGCATCAAATCAACTTTAACCATCATACCTGGACTCGATCTTAACGCCGTTCAAGGTCTCCCTAACAAGTGTAGTGTCAAACCGGTTTTCCCAATTGGTGCCGACGTGGACTGTAGCAAGTATATATATATATATATATCTCTATATATTAACACTCTTCTTAATTTCTCAACTTTTCTTATATTTGTTTCTAAAAACACCTAATATATACTTCACTTTATTCTTTGCAGGATAGGAGTGGAGCTCTGAGCTTGCAGGGCTTGCACTTAATGAATAAGCAATAAACATGGTTTGGTAATAACCAACATAGAATAAAGATGTTTTGATTTCTAAAATTGCAACTGAATTCCCACTAGGGATCATGTATTATGAGTTTAGGTAATAATTGAAATAAAATCTTCACAGTTTCTTCTCAATATAGTGTTTATCTACTGTGACATTTGGATTTCAATGTCATCTCTTGTGATTCTTAGAATGAATTTGTTACACTTCACAATAACTAGAAATATTATATAGTTTTATCGTAATCAATGTTTTAAATAAAAGATGCGGTCAAATAAATACTTTCACAATTTCGGCAGCTTCATGATCATGTGTTGCATTACTGTCGTTGCGGTATGTATTAATCATAAAATTCATAATATTGAATGAGATTTGTTCTTTTATATTTTGATTTTGAAAATTTCATATCTCTAACAGTGTAAACAAGGTAATAATGATGATTTTGAACTTGTTATGTCCTGATTATAATTTGCTAGACACGTAAATCATAAATTGGTTAGATGAAGATAAAGTTAACATGGAAGAAATCTAATGATAGAAACGATTAAATCCCTCCTTCAAATCATCTATCATTTTATTTGAGAAACTCATGATTGAAAATATAATAAACATTATCTTTACAAACATGATAATAAACATTATAAACATAATAAACATTTTTCAAACATGATAATAAACATTATAAACATAATAAACATTTTTCAAAATTTTGACGGTATTTATTTAAATTAAATTAATCTTTGAATTGAATCAAGAAGTGTACAATAACTTATGATTTGAATCATAACATGTCTTAAATTGAATCAGACTTTGACAATTCTCAAGCAAATCACATTTAAAAGTTTGATTCAAGTCACTAACTACATTGATTAAAATCAAATATTGTTGTTGCTGAGTCTGAGGAAGTCATATTTGAATCAAAGATATGTTTGATCCAAATCAAGAGCTTTTCAACTTTTGAATTCGAATCAAGAATCTTCTTTGCATTCCATGATTTTTACCTTTTCTGTTGAAATCATTATCATAACCTTGTCCCCTTACATCATCAATATTAAGACCATATTTTTTTAAAATATTTACAAGCTCATTAAAAAGACCTTTTCCTGTGTCATCAACTTTTAAAAATTCTAAAAAAATACTCTTCGATTTTAATTGGAAATTTAGAAGTATCAATGTATTTCAAAATAAGAGTCATTTATTCTTGATGACTTATATCATAAGTATAATAAAAAATAACAAAAAAAATATTTTACATCTTTAACTTTCTCTATCATTGACTTTTTAACTTGGAAGGCTATCATTTCTATAAGCTCGTATTGTATGGTATTACTCAAAAAATGATTACGAGTTTCATTATTTTTTATGCACCTAACATATTCTTGCATAATTGGATCTGCTAGCATCTCTATCAAACTCCAAAAATTACCATTACCTTTTTCATATATATTTTCATTTGTTCCACGATAAGCAAGATTATTTTTAGAAAGATATTTGATTATAGCTATAATCCTAAGTAGAACCTTTTCCCAACGTTCTTTTTCTTTGTTAATTTGTTTTTGTAAATGCTTATCAATTGTTTGTTTTGTTCTCAATCTCTTTTCTAGTTCAATCCACTTGGTCATATTAATTATATGTTCAGGATTTTTTTCTTACTCTTAAGCTTGGATCCAAGATTCTTCCAATCTTTAGTCCCTTCATTTGCTAGTTCACTAACATTTGTTGAACCAAATAACTTACAACAAAAACAATACACATTGTCTAAATATTTAAAATAAATTAGCCATCTTCTATCATGTTTTTCTCAATTTCGTTGATAACATGATGAATAGAAATATCTTTTATTTTTATCTTTTATTGAAAATTGTCATGTCTGATAGGATCTGTTTTAGACTGGGTCTGCGTTTGGCCTGTTACCGGGCAAGACTCATCTCAACTCTGCTACAAAGAAGGTCCACTACTGTGACCCACATTGCAATGGTCGGTGGTGAGTGTCTCCCACACGTGTCCGTCGACGATCTCCTCCTTAACACGTGCGCTTCGTGGACGTCCCTTACGAGTGCCCGCCGAGGACATCTCATCCATGCGCCCGACAATGACATCCTATCCACGTGCCCGACAAGGATACATAGCCAACATTCCTCCGAATATCATGGAGCCATCCTGTCCCTGAAAATATTGGGTCTTCCGCCCTCCGGAAATTACGGGCAGTTGAACCAGGATAAGGACCACATGCTGGTCTCCTCTATCCACATAGGATCCTGGCAGTCTCTATTTTGGGCATGGGCATCCGATCTAAAATGGGGGATCTTGACCCAACGCAAGGGGCTATAAATACTCTCTCTCACTAGAGGGTCAGGTACACTATTCTATTCACTCTTTCTTACTTGCACTTTTACTCTGAACCTTACTTTGACATCTAATAGTCTTGCAGGTACTCCCCCCTCCCAACTTTTCCTTCATCACAACAGAAGCCCAAGTGTTGTAGGCCACGAAGATCCTTCTGATCTTGGTAAGATCAGTTGCGCCACCAGTGAGAATCATTTTCCTCCCCGTCTTTTTCCAGAACTAAAGACCAAAGCAAACTCATCAATACATACAAATCATCATGGCCAGCCAATACAACAACAACAATGACGAGATGATCCACTTCGCCGATGTTGGCAATAACAACAACAACAACAACAAGACTGTTGGTCACGACCAAAGTGACCCCTGGGACAGAGACACTACCTCCTCTTTTACTAGAGAACACCCCCTCGACAACCCTCACTGACACGTCGAGGATCCTGGAATGTATCAGGAAATCCATGTGCCGCCCAATGCTGACCCCACCAAAGTGGCCCTGTTCGCGGCTATATATCAGACCAACTACCTAATCTTCCAACAGGGCGAGCATATTGAAATGCTGGAGAAGAGCCGACGATCATGTTGAGAACCCCAATCTCGTAGCCCGTCCCTGCGATGACGAGATGCTCGTTCACGTTCTCCACCACAGAGACACCAACGAGATGGATCTCAAAGTCTCTCTCCTTGTCGAACCGGGCGAAGCCCTCAACTGGAGAGAACACATCCTGTTGTCGTCAAAAAGCGCGAGCGTGCTCCATCGCACAAAGAACGACAATCTTCTGGCCCCAAGAGGAACAAAGTTGACGGGCGTCTAGAGAAGCAGAAGAATCGATCAACGAATTTACCGCTCCGTAGAGGCCCCGGGTTTGATTCATCCCTGTCACTCTCACTAGACCGAAGTAACGAGGATGACCCCTACGGTCCACTATCTCGGGCGATCGTGGATACCCCTAATTCCCACCGGGATGGAAAATACACCGCCCTTTGCCACTTACGACGGTGTTGCATACCCCGACGATCACATTGAGGGTTTCGAAGTTATGCTGAACTAACACAATTTGTTTTTGGGTGGGGGAGGGGGGAATCAAAGGCATACTATTCCTCACGACTCTGAGGAAAAGTGTCATGACATGGTACAAAAACCTCTCCCTTGAGTTAATCACTTCATGGAATGTTCTGAAAACTCAATTTAGCAGGAACTTCACGGCCTCTCGGCGACACCCCAAAACTGATGCGTCCCTCGAGGCCATCATTTAGGGGAATGACGAGCCCCTCTGGACATAAATTGATCGGTTCAATCGCAAGGCCATCCAAGTCCTCACGATTGACTGTATAAAGAGGTACCTGCTCAAGAAATGGCTGCACCTTGGCACCGATTTCAGAAAAGTGGTCGACATCGAGACTCCCAAGTCCTAGGAGGATATCCTATACAAGGCCCAATCCTATATCATGTACGAGGAGAAAGAGGCGGCCAACAACGCCCGGGACTCAAGGAATCGAGAGAGCACCAGAATCCCAAAGCATGACGATATTTTGGCTTCCCATCGAGGCGGGGATAAAAGAAAATACGATAAGCTTCGTGACTCGTGCAAACACAGAGGTCCAGCGGGCCGCTTTACTCAGTAAACTCTACCGAGCTCTCCCTACGGACGCATCCTCGCCGAGTGTATCCACACTGAGTTCCACTCCGAGTTCAAACAAGGTCGTGTTTGGTTTCCCAGGCCTACACCCTATAAACCTGGAGTCGACAAGACCAAGTACTTCTGTTTTCATAAGAGTCACAGCCACGTCACTGAGGATTGCGTCCACCTCAATGATGCAATTGAAGCCCTCATCAAGGAATGGCGTTTGAGGAAGTACACTAGAAGGAGAGAGCCTCCTCGATATGACGTTTGCGAGATGAAGAAGGTCGGGGAAGAAACACCACACTCTGACGATGCTCCTATTATGCAGGTTTCCCTGTGTGTCTCCCGACTTGAGGAATTATTCGTCCCCGAGGAGGACGACTTGACCATATCTTGTCACAGTACCTAGGAAAGATTCCCCATCGCCATGGTGATATCCGGTGGGGGATTCAACAAATTCACCGCTGGGTTGGTGAAAATAAAGTTTAAGGAGCTGATTGATGCGAGCTCCGCTTGGAACACATCTCTCGACAGGTTCCGAGGAAAATCTGAGGCCATCATATTTTATCTTTAAGAACTACCAGGTTGGGAACCCAACTCCAGCATCCTTCTACTGGCAAGGGCAAAGATGGCGACTTTGATGTCCACCAAATTCTAGTCGACGAAGGGAGATCCATTGATATAATGCATGTGCACCTGTTCACCAATCTCCAGCTCGACCATACCCACTTGATACCATGCGTGGACTCTAACCTACATGGTTTTAATGGCACGGACAAAAGGCCTTGGGGTTACGTCGAGCTACTCGTCACCTTTCGGGACGAAGCAACGGCCAAACAAGTTACAGTCTGATTCTTGGTCATTGAGTGTTCGTCTCTGTACAACTACATCCTGGGAAGGCCAACCCTGGCCGAGCTGACCACCATACCATCCACGGTCCATTTTAAGATGAAGTACTATACAAAGAGGGGTCGTGTCGTCACCATGCACGAGGAT